GCTTTATTGTTCGGACCGACCAGCATAGTCTCAAGTATCTGTTGGAGCAGCGGATTGTCGAAGGTGAACATCATAAGTGGCTTCTTAAGCTTATGAATTATGACTTTGAGATTCAGTACAAACCGGGTGCCAATAATATCATGGCTGACGCCCTATCCAGAGTTCCTGCTGAAATGCACTTAAACTCTCTTACAGTCCCTATTTTCCTTGATTTTGATGACCTTAAGGAGCAAGTTGATGCTGATCCTTTCCTAGCCCCCATCAAGCATGCCATACAGCATGATCCGGCGTCCTATCCCGCCTATTCTTTAGTTGGAGAACACCTACGCTATCATGGTAAATTGGTTATGTCGGATTCTTCCCCATTTATTCCCCTCTTACTGAAGGAGTTTCATTCGGGAGTTGTGGGAGGTCACGCGGGTATCCGCCGGACATATAGGCGAAAAGCAGCTGAATTTTACTAGCGGGGGATCAAGCGTTCTGTCTAGAAGTTTGTGCAGGCCTGCAATGTGTGTCAACGCAGTAAATATGAAGCCATGTCCCCCGCTGGCCTTTTACAACCTATACCCGTACCTGAACAGATTTAGGAGGATATTGCTATGGACTTTATTGAAGCTCTTCCTAAGTCAAAGGGGTTTGACACAATTATGGTGGTGGTCAATCGTCTCTCCAAGTATGCCCATTTCATCCTTCTCAGTCATCCCTTCTCAGCTCTCACGGTTGCTCAGGCTTTCCTGCACAACATAGTCCGTTGACATGGCATTCCCGCTCGATTGTATCTGATCATGATAAAGTCTTTATGAGCTTCTTCTGGCACGAGCATTTTACCCAGTAGGGTTCAGAATTGCGTCGTAGTTCAGCTTACCATCCTCAGACAGATGGACAGCCGGAGGTGGTTAATCGCTGTTTGGAGACTTATTTGAGGTGCTTTGTGGCTGATTCCCCCTCCCGCTGGTCTTCCTGGATATCGTGGGCAGAATATAACTACAATACCTCTTTTCACACTGCTGCTGGCATGACACCTTTCAAGGTGGTTTATGGGCGCGATCCTCCTCCATTAATCCGCTATGAGCTTGGCTCTATGGCTAATGCTGATGTTGAAGTTGTTCTCCTTCAGCGAGATGCTATACTTAGGGAGTTGCGTGCTCATCTACACCGTGCACAACAAAAGATGAAAGACTCGGCTGATGTGAGCCGCCGTGATGTTAATTTTGAGGTTGGAGATTCGGTATATGTGTGAGTGCGACCTTATCGCCAGCAGTCTCTAGCTCGCTGAGCCAATGAAAAGCWTGCCCCTCGATTTTATGGACCATTTGCTATTGTGGAAAGAATTGGCGTTGTCGCTTATAAACTTCAACTTCCTCCAAAGGCAAGGATTCATCCTGTTTTTCATGTCTCGCAACTCAAGAAGGCAATTGGCAATCATGTCTCTTCTCCTGTGATGCCTTCCACTCTGTCAGCTGATATGGAAATGCTGGTGGAACCTGCGGCCGTTCGAGGGGTGCGTCCATCCACTATGCCTGGAGTTACTAGTTCGGAAGTGCTTATCCATTGGTAGGACCTGCCTGATTTTGAAGATTCATGGGAGCCTTTTGACTTACTTCGCGACCAATTTCCTCATTTCAACCTTGAGGACAAGGTTAGACTTTGGGTGGCGGGTAATGATAGGCCCCCAATTAATTTTACGTATGCTAGGATGGGGAAAGGTCAGCTTTCGGCTAAGGGGGGAAATAATTGAACATGGGGGAACTTATGACTGGAGGGAATAAGGAGAGTTTTGTAGCATTTATAGCTTGTCAATTGGGAATAAGAAGAGTAGCATTTATAGCTTGTCAGTTGGGAATAAGAAGAGTAGCATTTATATCTTGTCAATTGGGAATAAGAAGAGTGTGGGGCATTTATAAGTTGGTCAGCTGGGCATTTATTATGGAAGGCAGTTATGCTATAAGATGTGTATAAGAAGGGACTTTGGGGGATGGAGGACTTTTGTTGAGTACAAAATTCTGAGAGTGCTTGGGAGAGCCGGCGGTCTCTCGAAGAACCGACCTACTGTAAGTGATCTTTTCTTCTGAACGAATATCATTTCCCTGTTGTTGTACTAGTGGTTTGGATTCTGTTGTGAGTCTGTGAACTGCGTGTCAAATTTCTGGATCATATCAGCAACTCCATGAGGTGGTCCCAAAGCTTGATCCGATGTGTCCAGCAAGTATATTCCGTTCGCCTCATGGCCACTCCCAATCATCCTCTGAGAATGTAGGTCCTGAAAAACACAATGAGTGGGAAAGAAGGTTATGCTGCAATTCATGGACTTTGTTAAGCTACTAACAGATAAGAGGTTTGTGTTAAGTTTAGGGACATGAAGAACAAAAGATAAGAACAGGGTGTCAGAGGTTTTTATATCACCTTTACCAAAGATGGGGGCGAGGGACCCATCGGCAAGGGATATTTTCTCTTTCCCAGAGAGAATGTGATATGAGCAAAAAAGGTTAGATAGACTGGTCATATGGTCTGACGCACTGGAATCGATAATCCAAGGGATTTTATGACTACCTGAAATTGAAGCATGATTTGCAGAAGCACGAGTACCTGAGTGACCAAAAGTCGATGAAGATTATGTACTGTTGGAAGGGTGAGCTGAAGAAATTGTAGCTTCCAAGTGATTTAGGAGCCTCTCATACTTCTCAAAATCCAGCTTCATTGCAGCCAACTACTCAATGGTTGATTTCTCTTCACTCTCCTTACTTCCCCCTTCAGGTACTGTAGCAACATTAGCAGTCTTGGGTTTTCCCACTTGACTACCCTTCTTAGGGTTATTATTGTTCTTAAATCTATCAGGGAGAAGTCTAGGATGAAGCTTCCAGTAGGTGTCCTTTGTATGACTGCATCTCAAGTCATTGCAAATAAAGCCTCTCTTTAGCAGCATCTCTTTGGTGAGGCACTTCTCCAAAGCTGCCACCCAAACAAAAAATTTAACTTTGAGGATGCCACTGTCCCCCAAATGGCCCGGCTAGGAAAAGGGGCTTCATTTTCTCATACTAAAAAGCTGTAGAATGATTTTACTGAGAACTCTCCTGATCTGTTCCACTTCCACACTCTTGAATCATGAGTTTGTAAGTAATTGATAAAAAAAAAAAAAAAAACCTGAGTTTGTAAGTATCTACTAAAAAGAACATAGTCAAACATATTTTCTTTTAATATTTTTTCTTACCTTTCAAAAAAAAGAACATAGTCAAAAGGAAAAAGCATTTCTTGTTCACAATTAGGATGCTTAGTTTAAACCAGCTCAAATTTAAATTTCAACTCAGGAAATCCAAGTTCAAGAATATTGCCTGATGAATAAAAATTATTGTTTGCTTTATGGTTAAATGTTGCTTACATACAGAGTCATGCTGAATGAGTTTCATAGAATTTGGATATGGATGTATTACTTTACCTTTTCATCTTTAAGAGGCACTACATCCCCGGTCAAAGCAACCCGTGCTGGTAACTGCAGTAGATTAATTGTCCAAACTTTATTAAATGGTTGGATAACTAATAAATGTACATGGTTTATTTTATGTAATTAATGTAAACAAACTAGAAATTTTTAACTTTCAAAGTACTTCTAGTGGAAAACAGAAGCAACTTTAAGTGGATGAGCAGATTAGCAAACAGCTTAGCTGATACTTTACCTAACCATCTAAACAAGGGTCAATAAGGAACATCTCTTTTGGGGTGAGCAGATCGGCATATTATAAATAGCATTTTTTTAGTTCTAATAAAATTTCACAGTTACCAATTAAATAAAGTACTTCTAGTGGAAGTCCTTATTACAAGACAGATATCTTTTTCAGGAAAGTAAGAAACTAAAAGGGAAAAAAATAAAAAAGAGCTCCAAGTTTGCAATGAAGAAGCAACCTTTCTAACAGATCTCATCAAGTTTGCAAGTGGACCTGGAATGGGGCTTGTAACAGCAAGAGAACCACGTTCATCGATTATAGTGTTCTAAAAAGAAGAGAAGCATAATACAAGTTATCAGAAAAGAAAATGCTGATCATAAAATTCATGCCCATTAGCTTAAGTCTATATAGCTACCTATATAGATTATAGCATAACATAAAGATTACAACAACCTGAAACTTCAATTACAAAAGTGATAAAAAAACACACACGCATAATAGAGAGAGAGAGAGAGAGAGAGAGTGGAACACCAGAACAGGATTTTGTGTAACCAACCCCATATAGTTGGGACAAGGCTAGGTTGAGTTGAGAGAAAGAGTATGTCAGAAGTAGAAAAAGTAAGACGCTGTTTGGAATAGACTTCTACTTTTGTACTTTTAAAAATACCAAAGTATAAAGTACACAAAATACTTTTACTTTGGTATTTTTGCTTTGAAAACGGTTTGGATAAAAAATTTTGAAAAGTATGCTTCCAAAACATAAGTACCATTTTCTGTTTGGCCAAAGCATGCCTGTTCATGCTTCCAGTGACGGTTTCCGGTGGTTTGGCAGTCTGAGACCGGCGCAGCAGTCCAACTCCAGCAGCGACAAGGAGAGGTAGGGTCGAGAGTTTTATCGGAGGGTGATCACGTGGTTCGCACGAAAACAGAAGCACTATTTTGCCAAAAGCACGAAGTCTAAAAAGTCAACTTTGTGCTTTTGGGGATTTTCGTACTTTTAAAAAGTATAAAAGCATAAACATAAAGTATACAATACAAACGTTATATCATACTTTTGTACTTTCAAAAGTACAAAAGTACTTCATAAAAGTTTGGGTTTACAGTATGGAAAAGCCTCCCCGAAGCCTCATTGTTCTTCCCAAGCTCATGTAATTGCATTACTAAATGCACCATCTTGCACTAAATATAATTTGAAGGTTTTAAAAATTTTCTGTACCAACAATGAATGCACTAGTTTCCACTTTGGTAAAGTGTAAAAATAAAGTTAATAAACTAAGGGCCCTGAAGCAACAGATAATCATTTTCCATCACCTGAAAAACCCTATTTCTAATGGATAGCCATCAAAGCTCAATTCATGACACTCCCAAAACAGGAGATCATGTCATTGTGATTTAAAATCTGTTGCTTAGGATAATAGGTACTCCTTTCCAATTTGTTAGAATGTCATTGTAGCGTCCTCTGAAATAATAATAATAATAAATAGGAGCCTTTATGCTACCTCAACTTTGATTACAACAGACACTCTTTAAAAGATAATTACATCAACATATTTGCAGTGGATTACAATTTCCCCATAGAGCAGAGAACTGCAGCAGCACTGATTTATTTTCATTCATTCACATTTCTCCATCTTCCCTTTGATAACTTTGTCAACAGTCAACATGCTTGCACATAAGCAGGTTGAACAAAAGAATTCCTAGCTCAATAGTAATTAGACCCACCAAGATGGTCTCTTTTCTTTTTAATAGTTAATAAAGAAGGTCATTGCCCAATGTCAGTCCCAGCTATCTGGGATCTTGGCCTTTGGGAGAGGTGGGCTGGATACGGACCTAACCTCTAGCATTTTTTGCAAACAAAAAAAGGAGAAAAGGGGACAGAAGTGCTCCATTACAAAAAAAGTATAAATGTATATTTTCAGCTACTGTAAACCATTTATAAATGTCCGCCCCTTCTATGTATCAAAAGATAATGGATTCCCACCCATTACAAAAATTAGAAAACTGGAGCCCTTCAATGTCCATTAAGTAGAAACCCACAAGAAAACTATTTTTCAATATTTCTGATCAAAACTTGGCTTTCACACCATTTCCCTTAAAAAATATACTATTATTCCTCTCTTTCCATATACACCAATAAATGACGAGAGTTAAATTCCAAAGAATGTCACCCTTTTTTTAAAGTCTCTTAAATAGCCGACAGTCATCTAAGTTTGCTAGGTCACCAGGGATGGCCCACTGCTGGTTTTAATTTAGGATTTTGAGGATGCACTATGTAGGATGAGATCATTTGGAGCTGCAAAGGATGCTATTCAAAAAGAAGGAGAGGTGATTGCAGATCTGACCTTTCACCTTTGAGAAGAATGCAATTTGGAGTTGGAGAGGATCAATGCAAGATCTAAGGACCTGAAGGAGCTCAAGAAGATTCCTAATGCAGTAAGACGTATCATAAGTAAGAAAAATAACTGAACTGTCCAGGTTTCAAAACTTTTTCACCAGACTGAAAGGAAGTTTATTTGGGGTTGAGCCTAACAAAAAGGTGAAGAAATCAAAGAAAGTTTCCAAAAAAGCAAAGAGGTTGCTATTCAATCCACAAGAGAAACTAATGGAGCAATTTTTTTATGCCAAGTTGGAATCTAAATCCAATATTGTTGGGTTTTTGTTTGTTTGGGAGTTTGATATTTTCGTTTTTTTTATTTCTATTTGGTTTGTGTTTGGTTGTGTTCAGTTTGTCTTCTGGAGATGCGTTGAGAGATTGGAGTTGGCTTGTATTTGGGGTTGCTTTTTTATTCTCTTGAGTGGCTTCTGGTTACCTTTCTTGTAATTTCTTTTTTCTTTTAATAAATTTTTATTTTACTATCAAAGAATGACCCACTGTTGGACAAGATGATCCCTTTAACATTTGTTGATGTACTAACCAGTTATTTAAGAGGTGCACCTAGGCGCACAGGCGAGGCGCATTTTGGGGTATGCGCCTCGCCCAGGTCCTAGGCGCACCCCTTTCAAAAGGTGCACGCCTGATGCACCTGATGCGCTCAGCCTAGGCGTGCGCCTTTTTAAAATTTTGCGCTTTTTGCTTTTTTTTTTCAGTCTAACAGCTGGGCCAGGGGCGGAGCCCCTGTACCCCCAACCACGCCCCTCAAGGCAAGCCCAAACAAGTCTATGTTTGGGTCCGAAATTCTTATTTCTCACATAAAAAAAATAATGATTTTATAACTTTCATTGCCTTTCCGAGAACCCCCTATTTGCTAATGTTGTTCATTCATTCATTGCAGTAAAATATCTTCTTAAAAGGCAATGAAAGTTATAAAATCATTATTTTTTATGTGAGAAATAAGAATTTTAGACCCAAACATAGACTTGTTTGGGCTTGCCTCGAGAGGCGTGGTACAAAGGCGACTCATAGAATCGAGAATGCAATATGTTTTACATCACACTAGCTACTTGAAGCAATGCAAATAAGGAGAAAAACAGATTGTGGGTTTTACATGCTTGAAAATGCTTTATATGTTTGCTTTTATTTTTAAATTTTCATTTGGATACACTTTACATGTTATGTTTATGTATTTTAATTTTAGATAATAGGTTTTTTAAAACTTTTATTTTAAATTTTAAGTTTATATTTTTTATTAACATTGTAATTTTGCGTATTGCGCCTTTAAAACACTGGTATTAACCAAGGTTCAAAGTATCGATATGATACACCCCATATCAGACGCATCATATTGTATCTTGGAGTCACTGAAATGGCATATAATGGGAGTTGGGTGATTTGAATGTTTTAAGATGTTAAAAGAAGATGTTATAGGACCCCTATCAAAACATCAGACCAAAAGGTTTAGAAAAATAATAGTTTCGGTGAGCTGAAGCTCTCAATAACAAAATTTGCATATTTATACTTTGAACCATGGTATTAACCAGAGGAGTCACCTGTAAAAACTTCAGGTGCTCAAAATTTTTCAAGAAAGCATCACTTGGTGTTCCCCTGGTCATTTCTCTTTCATCAAAGCACCTTTTTTTTTAAATTTCAGAATCATACATTCTGAACAATGGGAAAAGATTATGCCATTACCCAACATTGGTACCAGCCATCTGGGATCTTGGGAGGGGTGAACTGGATACAGTCCTAACTTTAACATTTTTTTGCACAAAGTAGACACTATCATACTCAAACCCGTGTTCTCACGCTTGACAGCTCGAGATTTGACCATTACACCAAGTAATGGCCCCTAATGGAAAAAGATTATGCAATCACCTCTATATGATTATGAAAGCATGTTAAGCTTATCATAAAATTGCATATATAGATTAGCAAAAATAATACTTGTTGAGGCAGTCACGTTACAAACATTGCCACACCAGCAAGTTCACCACATAGAAATGAAAGAGACAGTCGATATGAAAATAGCGTAGATGGTTTAGGCAGGAAAGTCCAACTTGGAGTTTAAATTTGCTATTTCAAATTATCAGCTGTTATATGTATTCCAATGTATAAAGGACCCCATCATTAGCAAGGATTTGAATCTTGATTTCCAACTAGGTTTCACCTGTCTGAAACCAAAATTTTCTCTGAAATTTTGTAGTCAGTTTGAAATTTCAAGGGAAAATCCAATATTTTATACTCCTATCTATTTTGATTTTTTTTTCTTTTCTCTTTCCTTGTTTTCTATTTCATATTAATCTTACATTATTCATGTTCTGTCTTATCTAATTGCAAAAAAAATCATCTTACTTTTAACCTAGTGTTATATAATATTCCCTGTGTATTTCGTTCTGTTCCTTCCAAAATGAAATAATATGTCAGAGTTCCATAAATGCCAACAAAATTTTACCTAATGTTATAATATACCGTGTATTTTGTTCTGTTCCTTCCAAAATCAGAACAAAATGTCAGAGGTTCAGAAATTCCAACAAAATTTGTATCCTTGGTCATTAACCAATTCTTGTCCCAGCTTACAAAAGAAGCTCTTAAGCCTTTACAGGCAAAAGGCAGCAGTTCTGCTAACTCAATCTAGAGAAGACCAAAATGTGTGAAACATAAACTCTTGCTCTTTGCTTGTCTGACAAAAAGGGGAAAAAAAGACATAACTGTAGCAGAACGTACATTTAAAATAATCCCACAAAAGAAGAGCCGGAGTCAAATTTATTATAACAATTAACGTCGCTGGATCTTGATATGGTTGTAAACAATATAAATTAGTAGACAGATAACTAATAACAACAAACTACACTACGATAGAGTGTTTACCACGTTCAGCGAAAAATAAAATGCGTACCACATTGTGCAAATCATTTTCTGGTACCCAGATGTATGGCTTGCCCTTCTTAAATAAGTACTTAACCTTTGAAGTGTAAATGTCCTCTTTGCTATCACAAACATGGGAGAAAACAAGAATGTTATTTCCTTGTGCACCATATAGGTTGAAGTTACACCATAGTCATTAAATAAAGAGTTCTTCGTAATGTTTCTGATTAAAGCTTACCTTCCTTTGGCGTCAGTTTTGATGGTATTAAGATAACCTTGCCAATTAGAAGCTAATATATTCTGTGATGATGTTACAGCTCTTATAAGATTCTAACACAAGAAGAAGAGGAGGAAGAATATATTTTCCATATACGAAAGAGTAAGATTGTAAGAGATACAGACTACAAATTTATCCGAAAACAGATTGGATAAGAACTAAAATGTGTTCATGTCTCTGTGCCTATGCGTGTCTATGTTAAAGATAGAGAGACACAAACCTTGCATTTTTCTGCGAATGTTAAGACCAGCGCCTTAGTATTTTTCATTTATCCTGGGTTTTCTTGCGAGGACTCCAAATGCTCGAACAAATGCTCGAAGAAATCAATCAGGTAACTGTTTAAACTGGAAATTGGAATATATATGATGGACGTCGTTGGGGAGGAGGGTTTTAGCGGGCTTTTACACTTAGGGCTGCAAAAGAACCACTGCGGACGGTGGTGTGACTGGGCGCCCCAACCCGAACCCGAACCAACCCAGCCAGTATTTTACATTACAGTCTTCGGGCTCGGGCTGGGGCTGGGCACAAAAACTTGAGCTATTTAATTTTTGGGTAAATTATAAAGACCCCCTTATATTATGGGTCTATGATGATAAAGACTCCCTTACTTTGTTTTGCGACAAAGACCTCCCTGTACTATGATCGCGAGTCCGTGAGACAAAAACGCCCTTCTCGTGAAAAACATTGTCTAACTCACATTGATTCGGCGGAAGTCAGAGGGCAGCAACTGGTTCGGCGGTGACAGAGGGCGCGTCAACTGTGGGAAGAAGAAGAAATAGAAAAATAAAACAATAATAAAAGATGGAGAGAGGCCGGTGGTGGATTCGCCGCTGCAATCAGTTGCAGCGGTGAAAGTCATGTCTTCCGGAGGCGGCGGCGGTGGAAGTGGAGGAGGAGGGGTTGCTCTTCCGGAGGCTATAGGGGATGAGAGAAAGGGAGATCGGCAAGTTCTCTACCTCTCAAAATAAGCCATGTCTGTGCCCAGGCGCTCGATCTCCATAACACCGATATCTAGCTAGGTAGGGTGCTACGCAGCCCGGACCGGATAAGGTGCGACACGTGATGAACTACGATTCTCTCAACAAGCCAACTAACACAGTAACACTAATATTGTTCTTCGCTTAGATTTGTTCTTTCAAGTTTTTCCCCTACACTTCCTGGAGTAAGCTATTAGAATCAGAGCGTGCGACAGGTGCGCACAGGGCATGAAACATCGCTACAATAATGGCTTATGGAAAGGGAAAGGCAGGGAGCTTTCCGATTTTTTTATGAACCCGCGGAAAATTTAGGTTATGACAATAAATCCAGTTCACTAATTGTGAAACGGGTCATTACTCGAATGTATCAACGGAATCATTTGATTTTTTTGGCTAATGATTCTAATCAAACTCAATGTGTTGGATACARCAAGAATTTTTATTCTCAAATGATAGTTTCTAAAGAAATAACAAAATCTCATTATTTACGATCAATTCATTTAATATTCTCTTTTTTAGAAGATAAATTATCACGTTTAAATTATGTGTTAGATCTACTAATACCTTAYCCCATTCATTCAGAAATCTTGGTTCAAACTCGTCATTGCTGGGTAAAGGATACTCCTTCTTTGCATTTATTGCGATTTTTTTTCCATAAGTATCGTAATTAGAATAGTCTTATTACTCCAAAGAAATCTAGTTCCCTTTTGAAAAAAGGGAATCAAAGATTCTTCTTGTTCCTATATAATTCTCATGTATGTGAATGCGAATCTATATTCGTGTTTHTTCGTAAACAATCTTTTCATTTACGATCAACATCTTCTGGAGCCCTTCTTGAGCGAATCCATTTCTATGGAAAAATATAACATCAAACCATCCTATGGTTGGTCAAGGATCCTTTCATGCATTATRTTAGATATCAAGGAAAATCCATACTGGCTTCAAAAGGGACTCCTCTTTTGATGAATAAATGGAAATATCACCTTGTAAATTTCTGRCAATGTCATTTTTACTTGTGATCTCAACCCGACAGATCCATATAAATCAATTATCCAATCATTCCTTCGATTTTCTGGGTTATCTTTCAAGTGTACGACTAAATCCTTCACTGGTAAGGAGTCAAATGCTAGAAAATTCATATCTAATAGATATTGSTAGTAAGAAGTTCGAAACCATCGTCCCAATTATTCCTCTCATTGGATCATTGGCTAAAGCAAAATTTTGTAAGGTATCGGTGCACCAAAAATAATTCGATTTTTGATTTACGGGTGGGTTTGGCAGATCACGTGCTCACCTTCTCCTTTATTCTTTTTTCTGCCAACTTCCATTCCGTGTATTTAAAGGACACTGGTGGTAAGGATGCAGATATCTCTCGGCCTTGTTGTTTAAACTTGGGCGAAGGGGGTTGTTTGGATCAGCACTCTTTTTCTACTACTGTCCATGAGTTTACAGAAAAACAAAAATTTATGTTATCATAGAAACATGGCCATGCAGCCGGAGACAATGATAAAAAAGGACGGCCTACGTCGTCGGAGGCAGCGGTGAACAAAGACACTGACAGTCTAACACTTGCTTGAAGTTGAAGGTGTGCTGCCCATTAATGTTGAAGGTGGGCTTCTTCACCGGTTGCGTGGTGTTGAAGCAAGTGTTGCACATTGCATCAACACCACTATTCTGTCTCGTCGGAAGCAAATGTTGCACATTGCTTCAACACCACGCAACCGGAGACGGTGTTAAAACTTCCAAATTAATGTTGATTGAAACAGAATGACATGATCAAGGCAGGAATTCAGGGAAGGTAAAGTTTTGCCTGAGACTCACAATTTCCGCCGGGACGAAGTGAAAAAAGACAAAACCGGATCTGATGTTGAGGAAAAATACAGAGACGCGATCAACAAAGTGAGGGAAAAATATTGCAGGTAGAGAACAGCAACGGCGATAATCCCTGATCTCCCTTTCTCTCCTCTTATCCCTGTTGTTCGTGAGCTCGGGGAAGATTACAAGGGTAGCACGGGGGTTAAAAAATTTTATAACCACAGATTTCAAGGAAAAGCTAACGGAAGGGGGTTTTGTCTCATGATCATACTACAGAAGGGGTCTTTGTTGCAAAATAAAGTAGGGTCTTTATCACATACCTCATGGTTTAAGGGGGTCTTTATAATTTATCCTTAATTTTTTTAGGAAATTTCTCGATCAGTACCCTTACTTTGGCCCGAGTGACAATTTGGTCATCGAAATTTTAAAATGCGACAATCGAGTACCTAAACTTTAAAAATGTTACAATCTAGTCCTCAAACTTTCAAAATATAATAATCCAGTACCTATTGTTAACCAATCCGTTAATCAACCGTTAAGTGACATTTGAAAAGTCAAAAATGCCCTTTAGATGCCATATAATTCTCTGTATCAACCATCCAAACATTGACAAAAAAATTGAACAGTCGATCAATCCCAAATCCTAGCCTCTTCTATTCAAAAAAAGTCGATGACTATTTAGAATAATCTATAATTTGGGAATGTTGATTTTATTGTTAATGTTTGGATTGTTGATAAAGATAATTATATGGCATTCTTAGGGCATTTTTTACTTCTTCAAATGTCACTTAATGGCTAATTAACAGACTATTTAACAATAGATACTAGATTGTCACAATTTGAAGGTTTGAGTATTGGATTGTTACATTTTGAAAGTTTTGATACTGAATTGTTGCATTTTAAAGTTTGGGACCAATTTGTCACTTTAACCAAATTACAAGGTAATGATCCAATCTAATCCCAATTCGAGCCATATCTAACTGATTGTAGCAATTGTTGTTGGGACCTTGTTTGATCTCATCTAGTATGGATGCATAAAAGTGTAAAATGGTTCATATCGCCCCTCCTCAGTGATAATTTGTGGGGGGGGGGGGGGGAGGGGGGCGGTCGGCCAGGCATGGCCCATGGCCCAAGCTCGTGTGGACTCGTGTTATGCCGTTGGCCTAGGGTGGGCAAGTTGTAGGTTGTACCATGTTTTCTTTTTATTTGTTTGCCAAGTAAAACTAAAATATTTAACTTTCCCTTCTGAACTATTTGAAAAAAATAAGAAATCTAACAAATAAATTAAAAAAAAAACTTAACCAATTAAGACGTAAAGAGGCAAAGACTCGAAGTGGATAACAAATTGGAAGAAAAATATGAATTTTCTTTCATTTAAATTTGAATGATACAAAGCATACAATGGTTGGATGAATGAAATATTCAATTTGGAAAATTGAATAAATTAATAAAATATAAAAAATACAATATAATTACAATTTGAAAATAAAAAATTATGTCATTAAGAATAGGGATTATAGCTGATAAGGTCAATTTTTTGTCATAATATCAATAAATTTAAAAAAAATAGGTTAACTTTTTAAAAATAATATAAAATAAGGGCAAAAACACTGCTCATCTTATTCTTATTGCAAATAATTCGTTAGTGCCACCACCAACCACCGCCTCCTCCGGCAACGCCTCATCCTATCTTTGTCGCCTCCGGCAATGCCATATTTAATTAAGCACTATATATATTTAAGTTATCTTCTTCCACATGCTCTATACACTTTAATTGAAAGCTAAGGAAAGAACGAATACGGTGACGGCGAAACATTTTAATATTTGGTCGTACGAATTTGAACGAGCTAGTGGCTAGTGGAAGGAACTAGTTGAGTATCTGGTCATCGGGAATTTGCAGAACAAAGACTCCCAGATCTTAGAGAAGGCATCGACGAGGACATCATGGTGTTGTTGCGAGTTCAGAGATAAGAAACACTGCAACAGCTGCTCCAAATCCTTCGCTTCTAACATATGTTTATCTACTATCATTTCCAGCATTGAATTCTTGAAATCCTAGTAGGGATCCTCCGACTTCTTCACCACCCAAAATTCTCCCTCACTTTCCCATCCATAACACATGGTATCATCCTCCGGAACATTGATAATCTCGCTACTTCTGTTTCCGGTGAACCACACTCTGTCGTTGTCTTTCCATATAAAAATCCTCTGTTACTCCTGAAAACCTGACGTTTCAACTTTTTTTTCCACGTTATTCTGCTTGTTTTTCTTATGACCCCTTAAACCTTTCATAATGTTGGGTGATTCGCGTATTGTTTCCAGACGTGGATTGAAGATTGAAAAAGAATATGTGGATAAACTTATAGAAAAACAAACTAGGGTTTTGGTTTCTTCATCGTCAACCTCTTCACCTCCATTGTTGCTGAACCAACCGCTATCGGTGAAGGACGTACTGCTACAAATCCTGGGCTTTGATTTCTTACTCGTTTGTTTCTTCTTTATCGTCATCTTCACTTCCGTCATTGGTGGTTGATGTTCTTCAGAGTCCCCAGGTAGCGACGAGTTGTAAATTTTACAGTGATGACTCTCTTCGTTCACTCTCGCAACAACATGCCATTTTCTTCCTTCTTCCATTTGTACTTTGGCATGTCATCGAATGATTTTCCATGCTGTCCGCCACTACTGTCGGATATCGAACGGCAGGTATAGGTAACAGATACTATTGCACACGACACGTGATGTTTCAAAAAGGGATAATGATTCCTGACGGTCAGCGGTGGTGGAAAGTGCGGGCAAGCTGCATTCGCTGGGAAATTGATGTCGATGGCCTTGGGGTTCACTGGAGATAGGCTAGAAGGCACAGGATGCGGATTCTTCGGCATGGTGGAAGGGTCTTTGGAATGACTAGAGTGGAAGGTCGGAAAGAATCGGGAAATTCAGAGCTTCAAATGTTTCACCATCAGCATACTCGTTCTTCCGCTAGCTTTCAATTCAAGTGTATAGAACATGCGGAATAAGATAACTTAAATATATATAATGCTTAATTAAATATAGGAAGGCGTTGCTAAAGGTAGGCGGCGACGTTAATGAATGGTTTGCAAGATAAAGAATGTGAATAGTATTTATGCCCTTTGATATTATTTTTAAAAAGTTATTTTGTTTTTAAATTCTATTGAAAATATTACTTTTATTGATATTAGAGCCCAAAAATTACCCTTATTAGTTATAATCCCTAAAAAATATCAAATAGATTAAATAAAATTTATAATAATTTGAAAAAATGCTATACAACTATTGAGTATACAAAAAATATTGACTTCATCATTTTATACTATTGTTTTTTACTTTGATCATTTGCTTCAAGTGAAACGTCAGGTGTAATGTTATGTCCTCCGTTTGTCTTGTAACCTATCTCCAACATCCAACCAATCTTTAAAACAGATGCACATCTCTAGACTTTCTTCATTCATACAACTTCTATTGTCACCCAACACCTTAGTATCTACATTAAAACATGGCTATGGTGGAATTGTAGACACCAGAGGGGTTAGTAGATCATGTGCCATGTCAACAAGAACTGAATAATTTTTTGCATGTTCACTCCAACAAGTTAAAATATCAAAATTACATGTTCCATTCGAGATGAAACAAGAATCACCTAAAATAGACAAATTTTGTTTATAAATAAAGATTAAGTTCAGTAAATGAATTTGTTGTCGGTGGAATAGATTTTTGTCTCTTATTTATTAAATAAAAAAGTTTGTTCTCTTCCACTACTAGACTCAAGTTCAAAAGTGGAAGATGCAGCTATACAAGTTATATAATTTTTATTATTCCCTGTTGCTTTATATTCATATAAACTATACATTTCAAATAATAAACTATTAATTTATTTATTTTTACCTTCAATTTCAATATTTATATTTTCACAATATGTTTCAAGTAAAATATTTAAACCGTATTTCCTAATCATAGGATCTAATATAAGTAATTGCAACTTTATAATTAATATTTGATAACATATAAATTAAATTTTGTTTATATGAATAAAAAAATTTTAAAGCATCTGATCTAATGGTATTCATAAATTCAAATGAATAAATGCTCCACACTTTCACATCACGGGGACCAATACATACCACATCACAATTCACGATTGTTTTGAACTTAGAATAAATTCACGGTGGTGTTTTGTAGATGTTTAATGGAAGATCTACACAGTAATATCATATATGTCTACTTTTTGCATTTTATTTGATAAATAAATTGAAAAAAGGCACCAACATGTAGACAACAATTGCATTTTTAATTAATTAAAAATTATTGTTTTAAATATTAAAAAATAAAAAATTAATATTTAAATAGTGAAAATAGTTGAAAATGAGAACCATTGGACTTGTGCTGGAATTAACATTAAAAATAATTATTTTATTGATAAAATATTAAAAAATATAAATTACTAAAACATTAAATAAAATGAGAGTAATTGGACCAATGTAACACTAAAACCTTTCCACAAATTGTCCACACTATAGTTTGAACTATCTACGAGAAAATATTATGGACGATAAATTGGGGTGTGACTTGTCCCTGTCCACGCTATTTTGTGGATGGGACCGTCCACACATAGTAGAACACCATATTTTACTGTGGATAGGACCAAAATAGTCCCGTCCACGATATTTACACACTATTGAATGCCACCTTAGTGGATTTAATAACTCTATAACAGAAGAGCGGGAAGCATGACAAAAAGGCTCTGATGTTGCCGATGAGGTTGTCATTGCTGTTAAGGCATCTAAGGGAGTCCCAAGAATTGTGCTTGTGTGGGCATTGGCTCATGTTGTTGAACCTAGAGATTGTATAACGTTGTTGGTGGTAATTTCTACTAAGAGTTTGGGTATCACATGAGTCAATGGGGGTGGCAACCTTATCATTGACACTCAGTGAGTTAGTGGGGTGGCTGTTTGGTTTCACTTTGTTGGTTCTGTCCAGAAACATTGGAAATTGACTTGCCTTTGTGAATAGTGGCCGAAGTTTGCAGAAGGTTGTTGGCAAACTCATTGATCACTCGATAGAAAACTAATAGAGAAAAGTTGTAGATTATTGAGCACTAAATAACAATAGAGTGAGCAAATATGATGATGGAAACAATGAACATTGTCTATTATGGTTCAGTCTTAAGTAAAAGACAATGAACAATGTCTTCTTTTGAGGGGTAGTTTTGACATTTTCAATAATTTGAAGTTACACATGTCATCATGTGATAAGATAATCGACAGAATGCTAATGGTAGGGACTGAATTGATAGTTTTTGGAAGTTTAAGTACTAGAGTGACGTGATTTGAAATTTGGGTACTAACTTGATACTACCCCTAAAGTATAGGGCAAGGTTTTAAATTTCGTCATGTATTGGCTGATACGTATCAGTGTTTCGACTTATCGGCACAAGAGACGGTCCTAAATCGAATGTACCATCTATTTTCACTGTGCAGAAACAATATCGAGTTCGTATCGGGTTGGTATTGACCCATTTCGTCATGTTTCGGCCGCGTATTGGTTGATACGCGACAAATTCACCATTGCGGAAATATGAATAAAATAGCATTCTAAAGATGGCTTCTAAACCCATTTTCAGAAGCCCTCTTTCTTCCCCAAACCCTCCAGAAACTTTATTCACATTCCTAGAGACTAAAATCTAAAAAAAACCCATCAAAACACCTACAAAATTGAAAGATTCAACAAGTTTTTCGAGGTTGTTTAAAAAGTAGCGAAAATAGGTATGTTTTTTCAATTTATTTTTTTTACATTTTCAACCAATGCTTTGTTTGTTTGTTTGTTTTTTTTTTTAGTTTGGATGCTTGAAAACATCTTTATGTATGTTGACATGCTATTATTGTGCAAAAAATCCCATCTATTTTGCTGCCATATGTAAATCTTTGTGAATATTTGAAGAAATTCTATAATAAAAAATAAAAATTTTAGGTTTTTCTTGTGATTTATCTCTAGAAATCGATTATTTTGTAGATCTATGGATGATCTACCATGTCCATAGATCAATTGAATTTTTTCTAAATAATTGATTTTTTAATTTTGTTGTAATTATTAGAATAAAAAATATATATAATTTCTTTAATTTTATGTGATCTAACCCTATAGGCTGAGTATGTTGTAGATCTATGGATGATYTACCATGTCCATAGATCAATTGATTTTTTTTCTAAACAATTGATTTATTTTATTTTTTGGAATATATATTACTTTTATGTGATCTAACCCTATAGGTTGAGTATATTGTAGACCTATGGATGATCTACCATGTCCATAGATCAATTGATTTTTTCTTCTAAATAATTATTATTTTTAATTTTTTTTTTTAATTTTCATAATATATATATATATAATTTAATTTTATGTGATCTAACCCTATAGGCTGAGTATGTTGTCGATCAATGGATGATCTACTATGTTCATAGATCAATTGAATTTTTTTTTTATAAATAATTGATTTTTATATATATATTAATTATTGGAATAAAAATATTTATAATTTATTTAATTTTATGTAATTTAACCCTATAGGCTGAGTATGTTGTAGATCTATGGATGATTTACCATGTCCATAGATCAAATCCATTCAAATTTTCTGTTACATATTTACTTTTCCTAATTTTAATTTAATTTGTAGAGTAAAACAAGCAAAATAGTTATTTGAATAAAAATAAATAATTATTTAGTTTTTAGAAAACTATAATGAAACATGCAAAATAATTACTTGATCTATTATGTCTATTAATCCATTCAAAATTTCTGTTACATATTTACTTTTCCTAATTTTAATTTATTTTTTAGAATAAAAAAGCAAAATAGTTATTTGAATAAAAATAAATAACTATTCAGTTTTTAGAAAATTAGAATGAAACATGCAAAATAATTACTTGATCTATTATGCCTATAAATCCACTCAACTTTTCTGTTACGTATTTACTTTTCTTAATTTTAATTTAGATTTTAGAAATAAAACATGAAAAATAATTGATTGAATAAAATAAATAATTATTCAATTTTTAGAAAATTAGATTAAAAAGCAAAATAATTACTTGTTCTATTATGTCCATAAATCCATTAAATTTTTCTGTTACATATTTACTTTTCTTAATTTTAATTTAATATTTAGAACAACACATCCAAAATAATTATTTGAATAAAATAAATAATTATCCAGTTTTTAGAAAATGATAATGAAACATGCAAAATAATTAATTGAACTGAATTAAGTACTTTATTAGATAGTATGTTTTTGTTATCGTATATTAATTATAATATGTTTTTTTCATAAAATCCACTAAAACATATTATTTTTATGCATAAATAGCACATTTATATCTTATATTAAGTGACATTAATGTTTATTTAAAATTTATTAGTATATTTATAGTATTTCCATGCATATCTTAATTTTTCGTCCATATGTATCCAAAATATATCTCCATTCGTCATATGATAATAATATGAAAATTTCCCTTAATATTAATTAACTTTAGTTTTATCGTTACTCCATTGAATTTTCTTTATCGGGTTTCGGACTCTATGCGAAGGAATGAAGGATAGGCTCGGGCTGAAGATCTATCCCGATGGTCGGGCTCGGGGCTCGGGCATTGGGACAGCTTTTGTTGGGAGGAGAACGCAACTCGGCGGAGATTATCATTTGGTCACCGCGCTTTTCCTTTTTCTGCAGCTCTTCGGTAGACTGTTTTTGACTCTGAGGGTCTGTCATTCTGTCAGTTCGATTGTTCGTTCAGTTTGGTCATGGATGCCGGACAAAGCTCCTTGTCCCCCACGACCTCGTTCGACAGGGATCGTCATGTCCGTTTCCTGAAGATGATGTTCCACGGTCTTCCTTCAGGTTATCAAGAGCAGGAGATTAATCATCTAACTCTCGCCTACTTTGTTATATCTGGCCTCGACATATTTGGCGCCCTAGATCAGGTATCTTGAGAATGGTGCTATTGGCACCTGAATCTGTCTCATTTTCCGGTCGTTTTTGGTCGATTTAAATGCAGCTCCATAAATTCCATATAATAGTTGCTTCGATGATCAGAAACGGTGACACATTCTGTATTTTGTTATTGACATTTATCAAATATCAGAT